CCACACACCCTCTCACGCACAACCACACACCCTCTCACCCTCACAGTTTTTCTCAGTTTGCAGATTGTATGCTTTCTTGGCATCTTTGATTAAATGCTAGCACATTTAGTTCAGTCTAGGTAACATTTTCAAGAACCATAATGCTGCTTGCAGACAATCCCTGTGATTTTCAAATTCCATTAGGTGTAGCTGTAAATAGAGATGAAATCCTCTCTTAACCTTTCAGTGGCTTTATTATGTTCTTGTTCTTTAGAATCAAAAGTTAGTGTTTGCTTTAAATCAGTCTTTGAATCTCACTTTGTTCAGGGTTTAACTCTGGATCTTCATTCTTTGTCATGACTTATTTGTTTATGTCCAGATCTTTTTAACAAATCTCAACCAGTAAAACAACTGATTCGTTCTCCTCCTGTTTAAATGCAGGATATATTTTTCCTCTGATATTTTAGGAATTTCCTTCAGTCCATGTTGATGATCAATCAGAAAATCCTGATTATGTTTCTACCCAATTTCCAGGTTATTTTAACTTTTCCTCACTCAGCATGAACCTTTATTCGGTTCTTACCTCATGAACAACTATTCAATTACTCTGAAGGTTTAATTTACGGTTTAGAACTGAAATGTTTCCTTGTTCCACAGTAACAGCATTAGTTACAGACAGCTCATTTTGTTGTAGAAAACTGTCTTCCTTTGTTTCTCCATCAGCCTGGAGTGCTGCTGTTATATTCTGCTTTGACACTTGTGCCTTGTGTTCTACTAGCAAATTTCATTCAGAGTGAAAATTCAGTTCGAGTTATTGAGTCATCAAGATGTACAGCATGGAAACAGACCCTGTGGTCCAACTCGTTCATGCCAACCAGATATCCTAAATAAGTTTAGTCCCATTTGCCAGCATTTGGCCGATGTCCCTCTAAACCCCTCCTGTTCATATACCTATCCAGATGCCTTTTAAATGTTGTAATTCTACCACTTCCTCTGGCAGCTCATTCCAAACATGCACATGTGTGAAAAGGTTGCCCTTAAGTCCTTTTTAAATCTTTCCCTCTCACCTTAAACCTATGCCCTCTGCTTTTGGACTGCCCACTCAGGGGAAAAGACCTTGTCTATTTACCCTATCCATGTCCCTCATCAATTTATAAACTTCAGCCTCCAACACTGCAGGGAAAATAGCCCCAGCCCTATTCAGCCTCTGTCTATAGCTCAAACCCTGCAAACCTAGCAACATCCTTGTAAATCATTTTTCTGAACCCTTTCAAGTTTCACAACATCCTTCCTATAGCAGGAAGACCAGAATTGCCTGCAGTATTCTAAAAGTGGGTTAACCAATGTCCTGTACAGCTGCAACATGACCTCCCAGCTCCTGTACTCATTGCACTGACCAAGCGTACCAAACGCCACCTTCACTACCCCGTCTACCTGCGACTCCACTTTCACAGAACTATGAACCTGCACTCCAAGGTCTCTTTGTTCAGCGACACTCCCCAGGACCTTACTATTAAGTGTACAAGTCCTGCCCTGATTTGCCTTTCCAAAATGAAGCACCTCACATTTATCTAAATTAAACTCCACTTGCAACTCTTTGGCCCATCTGCCCATCTGATCAAGATCCCGTTGTACTCTGAGGTAACCTCCTCCGCTGTCCCCTACACCTCCACTTTTGGTGTCACCTGCAAACTTTTTAACCATACCTCCTATGTTCACATCCAAATCATTTATTATAAATGTTGAAAAGCAGTGGACACAGCCCTGATCCTTGTGGCACACAATTAGTCACAGGCCTCCAGTCTGAAAAGCAGTCCTCCACCACCATCTTCTATATTTCTTCCTTCGACCCAGTTTTGTATCCAAATGTCATGTTCTCCCTGTATTCTGAGAGATCTAACCTTGCTAACCAGTCTACCTTGTCGAATGCCTTACTGAAGTCCATATAGATTTTGTCCACCGCTCAGTGGTTAGCACTGCTGCCTCACAGCACCGGGGACCCGGGTTCGATTCCAGCCTCAGGCAACTGTCTGTGTGGAGTTTGCACGTTGTCCCTGTGTCTGCATGGATTTCCTCTGCGTTCCTTCCAGTGTCCAAAGATGTGTAGGTTAAGGTGGATTGGCCATGTTAAATTGCCCATAGTGTCCAGGGATGTCTAGGTTAGGTGGATTAGCCTCGGAAAATGCAGGGTTACAGAGATAGGGTAGGGGGTGTGTTTTGGTATGGACTTGTTGGGCCAAATGACCTGTTTTCACACTAGGGTTTCTGTGATTCCTGTTACTACTTCATAAAAATCAATTCAGTGAGACGCAATTTCCCAGGCTGTTTTTCTGTGACTTTAGTATCTTTTTAATCGAAAATGTTAGCTTATGGATCTTTCGGATGCTCTTGAGTGAATCTAATGTCTTTTTTCCAACAGATTCAGGAACAGGCATACGTTGTTGCAAGTCCATTGATCTTGCTGATCTGTCCTGATCTTTAGCAACTTAAGTTAATTTTGTCGAATCATCTGGAGGGGTTACAGTTTCCAGCTAGGTTCTTTCTCCAAGAGATGGTCAATAACGTTAATAGACAATTTTGACACTGCTCCCAGAATAATAGAACAAAGCACAATTTACAAATTCATCCCACACACACACTAAACCTATTTCATCAAAGCTCTGCATCATTACGCTTCCATTTTGGGGAATTTTCTCGAGATAAATCCATGTCATTTGTGACTGAAGTACAATATTAAGTTATTATTGTTATACAAGATTTATTTTATCTTTCTTCCCTTTGTAAATAATGTACAAATCTCAAGTAGATTATGAAAGTGTTCACTCTTGAGACCTTTGCTCATTCCAAATTCCATAATTGTTCCTTTCAAGTTCACCAAAAATAAGGCCCACAACATTCTGGACCTCTGAGGTGAAGAATGTGAAATGACCATTTTGCTCTTTCAAATAAGTGATTATTTTTTTCCAACTTCCTTTTGGAATTTTTTTCCAATGAGGTAATTGTGAGAAATACTGCGACAAAATTCAGTGTACACTTTCATAATGAATAATTGATCAATCTGGTCCTTTAACAATTTCAAAATGAACAGAGGAAGGATGCCAATATCATTTTCTGATTGAACTATTATGACGTTTTTCTGCTTTGACATTTTACAGTTTAAATCCTCAACATGAATGTGGACATGAGTTAAACTTAAATTTATTCAAAATTGTCAAATTTATTTAAAATTTGCATTCTTTTAAACTGTTTTTGACAGAGAAGATAATGAACTTTGACATTCAATATTGAATATTTCAATTTGTAAACTGTTAATTTACTTTTGAAGCATACCAAAGAATTTCTAAATTACACTTTTCAGTTTTATGATGTTTACTTGCTCTAGAGAGAGAAATTAGTATTAGAATATATGGATCTTCCAAACCTGTTAAAAATACAATTTTTGAAAATATCGGTGTTGTAAGTTTGTAAGTACTAAATTACTGTAAGCGGTTTTCATTTCACTGCTTCCGGATTCTTCTGCTGAACAGAAAGCTTTTGAGTCGAAATAGTGACCTGTAAAAATACATCACTATGTTCAAAGAAACTGATATTTGATAATTTCTTGTTCAGGTATCGACTTAGTGGTATGGTGCTGCCAGCTTTGAAAGAATGGATGGAGAAATTTTTTGGAGCTAGTTTGGAGCACAGGACTACCCCAAGGGTAAGAAACTTGCAGACAATAGTTCTTTGACATTTCTTTGATATTTTGCTTCCTTTAATGTTAGCAAAAAATTCTACATAATTTGTTTAAACTGAGAAAGTGAGATAAATGCCCAGCTCCAGTTCTAGTTTTCTTTTTCTCGAACGACATGTCAGTGCTCGTATGACAGTCCAATTTATTCCAGTGAACTTTGAGTGCTTGAGTAAGAAAATTAGAAGTAAATTTTTGGCCCTTCAATTTGGGGAAAAAAATTGCATTCATTCTTTCACTGACATCCTCGCACTTTGATAAGGATGCTAACTTAATAGACTGCTCTCTTACAGTTGGGCAAAGATTTGTAGAAGCTAATGATCCTTTTTGTTTTAAACTTTGAAGACCACACCAAACTTGGAAGATCTCCCAGTGCCCATTCTAAATGAAGACTGTTTGAAGGAAATAAAAGACTTGGGTATTCCATTTTCACACGATCCAGAGGACAGGTTAATGAGGTCCCATGGTAAGAAGTTTGAACCTCTTTAAATACAGGTATATAACATTCAAAACTATTTTGTGATCAACCGATGCACTTTGTTTTTAATGCAGGCCATTGCTTACATGAGATTTTTGCTTTACGTGAAGGCAAAGTTGAACGAATTCCAGATGTTGTAATCTGGCCAAGTAAGTGTAATTATTTGTTTCTTTTGCCAATGTTTTCTTTTTAACTGGCATTTGGTTAGCTAAATATGTAGTGAACGTATATTTTCTTTGTTTAGAGAATTCTAAGTATTTGTCGGAAGTGTAGTTCTTTCAAATTACATGTGAAACTGTTGCAGATGTATCTTGCTAGATTTCATATAACCTGAGTAACTAATTGCAGCCAAAAGTGTTGCATCTTCTACCATAGATAGCACGTTCTTGCAACCAAAATTATTTTGTATTACAGACTGTCATTCTGATGTGGTTAAGATTGTACAACTGGCTTCCAAACACAATATTTGCATCATTCCGTTTGGTGGTAAGTATTTTTAATTGTATGAGTTGGTTTTAAATACTTGATTATAATTTCAAGTTCTATTCTACTCCAGTTTACTTCATTGCTCTGCATTAACTGAGCCACAATAGAATCAAATTTACAAAATTTCCATTTACTAAAGAGAAATTGATTTCCATCAAGTTTTTTTGAGAAGTCTATTTTCATCCAGCTTTTCAACATATAACTATAGAGCCCGAAGAAATGTGAACTAGAATGTGTTATCCAAACATCTAACTTCGATTCCAGCCTCAGGTGACTTGTCTGCACATTCTCCCCGTGTCTGCATGGGTTTCCTCCGGGTACTGTGGTTTCCTCCCACAGTCCAAAGATGCACAGGCTAGGTGAATTGGTCGTGCTGAATTGCCCATAGTGCCCAGGGATGTTTAGGTTAGGTGGATTGGACAAGGAGAATGGGTCTGAGTGGGATGCTCTTCAGAGGGGCAGTGTGGACTTGTTGGGCCGAATGGCCTGTTTCCACACGGTAGGGATTCTATGATTCTATGAACTTACATTTTGTTTTGCCAATTTCAAATGTCAGTTAGAGGCAGAAAAAAATCACTTAAATTTTAGAGAGCGACATAATGGTCATATCAATGCGTTAGTTATCTAGATGCCCAGATTAATGCTCTGAGGATGAGAGTTCAAATTGCAGGATAGTGGCCAGTAGAATTTAAGAAATTAAGTAGAATTGAAAGTTAGTCTCAGTAACGGTAAACATGAAACTTACATAGTTTGTTGTAAAAATCCATCTGGTTTACTCATTTCCCTTATAAGGAAGGAAATCTGTCCTTACCTGGTCTGACCTACATGTGACTTGAGACTCTCAGCAATGTGGTTGACGCTTAACTGACCCAACAAGGTCAAAGCGCAACCAATGATCTTGGCAGCAATTTCCATATCCCAGGAAAGGATAAAGAAAGAAAAAAAGATTTTATACTCTTCAGTTGCACTTGGAATATGGAACTTTCACTGGTTGATCTTAGCATGCCTATGTAAACACTTTCCATTCACATCTGGGAAACTGGAGAGTTCATATAATTAAACGTCTTGAAGTTTCAGTATTTTGAAGGCGGTCAATATATCTATGCTTTCATTGTACATGAAAGTACAACTGTGGTTTGCAACGGAGTTGAAACTTCCCACTATTTTAAGCAGGTTGAAATAAATACCTCCGCTAATGCTGTAACTTCATTTGCATTCTTCATGATTACCATAACTTTCCTATTGGGAAGGCACATTTAAATTGTCAACATATTTCAGGTGATGAAATTAACCATTTGTTTTCTTCACTGTTCATGCTGCAAGTACTACTGCAAAAGTACATGAAATTCATACATGATTTTTACAAGTCTGCTCAGGACCTTGCATTCTAAAAAGAAAAACAATATTTTTGTTCGTATCTGTTTTGGTATTCTTGTATTTAGGTTTATTTGAAAACACAAGCTTTTGGAGTCTTGCTCCTTCTTCAAGTGACAGTGAGAGAGGTATTATCAGACGCACAGTTTATAAGTAAAAGATCAAAGGGTCACACCACCGATGAGGATATTTTAAACAAACCTAAGATGCTGTTAAATCTTTAATCAGTTAGAAGGTTTTAATATAATGATATGTGTATGTAAATCCTGAATTCCTTCGAAGTCGCTGTCCTGAGAGTGCTAAAGGTTTTATCAGTGTAAAGAAGAGGTGACATTTTAGGTCAGGCAATGCATATTAGGTGTAGGGCCTTGTTTAGAATCTTTGTTTTGGTTTGGAGTCAGACTGATTTTATTTCTAAAGCAGGAATTTATGAAATGACACATTAACTCTATACTACTTGTGTGCTTTTTGAACAAAATAGAAAGTTTCTGCAAGTTGAAATTCAGTCCATAGATTCACGTGCGCATGAGGGAGAAAGTTGGGGGGAATGGAGGTGGTGTCCTGGAGCGAGAGAGGGGGACTGTGTGTGTGTGTGTGTGTGTGTGTGTGAGAGTGAGGGGGGACTGTGTGCGCGTGAGAGTGAGTGAGTGAGTGAGGGGGGACTGTGTGCGCGCGCGAGCACGCTCTCTCTCTGTCTCTCCCTTTCTCTCTCTCTCTCACTGCCCCTCTTGCGTACGCGCACCTGCACCCGCAGCCACGGATCTAAGAGGTGGATTTGTATTTGCAGATACATTCTATTTTGTTCAAAAAGTACACAATTGGTAGACGATGTGTTGTTTTAAAAACTCCTAGTTTAGAAATGAAACCAGTCTGAGTCCAAAGCAAAACACAAACAGATTCTAAACAAGGCTCATGACTAACATGCACTGCCTAACCTAAAATGTCACCTCTTCTTGACACTGATAAAACCTTTAGTGTTCTCAGGACAGTGGATTCAAAGGAATTCAGGGATTTACATATACATATTAATCAATTAAAGCCTTTTAACTGATTAAAGATTTAACAGCATCTTAGGTTTGTTTAATACATTCTCATCAGAGGCATGACCCTTTGATCTTTTACTTATAAATCTGTGTCTGATACTACCTCACTTTTTCTTCAGGTGGTTAGTAAGAAAGGTGCTGAAAGCTCGTGTTTTCGAATAAACCTGTTGGTCTATAATCTGGTATCATGTGATTTCTGACCTTGTCCACCCCAGTCCAATACTGGCACCTCCACATCATACTTTCATTTAGTGTTTGTATTTGTTCAACTGTACAGTTTGGCTTGGAGAAAATTACAGGATGTGTTCTTTGGTTTAGAAAAAAAAAAGACATTGGCTGCTTAACTTGAATTGTACAAGATGTAATATAACACAAAATTGTAGATACTCCAAATCTGAAACAAAAAGCAAAATTGGTGAAACTCAACAGGTTTGGCAGCTTCTGTGGAGGGAAAAGAGTTAATATTGAGTCTAGTGATCCTCCTTCAGAGCATGTAATGTTGATTGGTAGCACCACAGATTATTTTTCAGAGCTTATGTTGTGCTGTTCACAATATAAAAGTTTTGGATGAGGAAACTAAATGTAATATCTTCAGTTGGCAGATGAGACAGGGCTGGGTGGAAGAGTGAATTGTGAGGACGATAAAGAGATGCTTCGTTGTGATTTGGGCATGTTGACAAAGCAAGCAAATGATGTTTAGTGTCGACTGATGTGCATTAGCTTTGATAGGGAAAAAAAAGGGCAGATTATTATCTGAACAGTATAGATTGGGAAAGCGGATGGTGCAATGAGACCTGGGTGTCCTTGTACACCAGTCACTGAAGGTAAGCATGCAGGTACAGCAGGCAGTGAAGAAGGCAAATTGTATGTTGGCCTTCATTGTGAGAGGATTATGATACAGGAAAAGAGATGGCTTGCTGCAGTTGTACAGGGCCTTAGTGAAACCACACGGAGTATTCTGTGCTGATCTTGACCTTATTTGAGGACGTATGTTCTGGCTGTGGAGAGAGTGCAGCAAAGGTTTACCAGACTGATTCTTGGGACAGCATGACTGATGTATGACGAGAGACTGTATCGGCTAGGGCTATGTTCGCTGACGTTCAAAAGAGTGAGGTGCGGATCTTGCAGAAATCTGTAAAATTTTAACAGAGCGAGACAGGATAAACACGCGAAGGATACTCTTGATGACTGGGGAGTCTGGAACCAGGAATCACAGTTTAAGGATACGAGATTGGCTATTTAGGACTGAGATGAGGAGAAATTTCTTCATTCATAGGGTATTGTGACTGTGGAATTCTCTGCCACATGTTTTCAAGAAGGAATTACATATAGCTCCTGGGGCTAAAGGGATCAAAGCGTATGGGGAGAAAGCAAGACCGGGGTCTTGAATTGGCTGATCATCAGTGATCATATCGAATAGCAGAGTAGGCTTGAATGGCTCAATCTTGCTACTATTCTTTTCTATGTTTGACATGTTTTATGCGGTATACCCTGTTGTGTTAAAGTGTACATTTTAAGTAAGTGGCTGGGAGTGTTATGCTATTAATGCTAAGAACTTGCAAGTCTGTTCACAATGTGAATCATACTATTCATGGGGAGCTGAAAAGAAAAGATGAAGTGCAAAGCTATATTGGCAGAAGATAAGGAAGAAAACAGAATGAGAGAGAAGTTGACTAAGCGAGAAATTGAAAAGAAATGGAATAGAAAAACAATAAAAAGAACAAAAATTCAGGCTCATTACGGAGATCAAAGTCGGAAAGTGAGACTATGGTGATATTCTTAAAGTAGTGGCAGCAGTGGCTTCTTCTGCCATAAACCTATATAGTAATGTGGATTTATTTAACAATACTGATCAAGACTTTTCTTAAAAAAAACAGTTTGAGATTCTAAGGTAAATTTATATTGCATCATTGCTGTTGAGTTCCTAAGCAGGGAATTGATGCAGCTGGCTGCAAGCCAAATACAAAACAGCCAGCCCTCGTTAAAAGCAGCAGCCACTTTGAGAGACCACTAAAACGGGTCTTCCTGGCAGTCATTCTCGGTGAGTCCCCTGTGGCTTTCCATTTTGTGTTAAATAGTTTTATCTGCTGTATATTGGCACTTGGGTTATTGGTAAGCATTTAATTATAAAACTTCTCTGTGTGAGCTCTGCGCTTCAGGAAACCAACAGTGTTATTGCACATCATACCCAACACTAAATTTGTTAAATTCATGACTTCACAATTCACAAGGATAAACATGATACCCTTTTTGTGTTTATCAGAACCATAGTTGCATGTATTAGGCCATGCACTAAAGTATCATATTTCCTCTCACAACAGCCAGATAAAGTGCAGGTTCGGATCTCTGCTTTTGCTCATAAAACCAAGTTTTTATTTTGACTTTTGTCCCTAGGCTGTAGGTTACTGTGGAAATACCACATTAATTGCAAGTTATCCTGAGAATATAACAGTACGCTGTCTTCTAATGTTGTTTTCCTTGTGGTTTTATGGTGCTCACATAGTGTTGTTGGGCAAGGAATGGTAGAATTTCAGTCGAATAGAGATGAAAGTATAGTGGGATTTAGGCCAGGTAGGGTAGTGT